CTCCGCAGAGCCTTGGCGGAGTCGCCACGCCGGCCTGGGGGGCCCCTACGGAGCTGGTCCCTGGCCTCTGCTTTTCGAGGCCGCTGGCTGCCTTGGCTTCAGGCCGGTGCCCCCTCCGGTGTGACGGGACCGCTGGCCCAACGAGACCCCCCAAAGACAGGCGAGGCTCCTCGAGGGACGACAATCCCAATTCTTGTACTTCCGATAAAGTTGGGCTTATTGTCCGAAGGAAGCCCGCTTTTCCGCCATGTTACCCGGCCGAGGGCGCAACCTCGACAATCTTATCCCCTGCAAGATGACGAAGAGGAAAAATCTCGAGCCCCCGGACCCGAAGAAAGCGCCCTGCAACTCGTCCCTCTTGAAAGCTTTGGAGGCCGTTGTAGCCGCCGGGAGAAGCGGCCTCCTCGGCCCGGCAGCCGCGGCGGCGGCGGCAGACATCCCGGAGCTGGGCTTAGGCGCCGCCAACGGAGCGGATCCGCAGGGCGCTCCCAACCCTGTTCCTTGCCTCTCGGCCACCGAGGAGGAGGAGGAGGAGAAGCCGGCGACGACGACGGTCAGCGTGGAACCGTCCTCCGTGATAACGGTAGTGCCATCATCACAAGGTATGTCGGATGAGGCAACGTCTCGAGTAATGAGGTATTTAGTAAAAGTAGTTACCAGGTGCTGTGGTAAATGAACGATAGTTTAAAACATTGCCATTTTAATAGAGTATGTGCGATGGGTGGTGTATGTTCACAGTGTACTTCATGTTGCTGCAAGACAGAAGTAAACAATTGTTTTATAGTCTTGACAAGTCTTTGCCTAGCATTTAGTTTCTCTCTACATGTGATCCATCGATACAACATTAACAGAGCAATGCTGCTTTATATTATTATATTACTCTAGGGTCAATCTGCGCAGGCCAAAGCAGCAGCATGTTGCTAATTCCCAAAATTGTGAGGTGTGCAAAGCACCAGGTAGCAGTCACAGGTACCCTGACCAAAGCCCTGATAAAGCCAGTCCCAACACATGCAGGAGATGGCAGATTCAAATATTTCCTGAACTCCCCTATGAAAGAAAGACATAAACTAGCAATAATCGGGGGCTCCATGATGCCATCTACTAAAACAGGTACCAACACATTCAGAAGATTCCTACTTCAAATGTCCAAAGCAAGGTTTCCACTAAGCTGGGCACATGCACAGATGACTCCCCTTGCCTCTGCACAGCTCTCTTCTCCGTGCATTCAGTTCCAGATGCAATGGAACCCAGTGCGGGGGGTGGGGATGGAATCGTGCCCAGCAGGGCTGAATATTAGGGGGTATATTGTTCCCAAACAGACAAAATACTTCTGTTCACAGAGAAAAGGCAAAAAACCAACAACAAGAAAGGGAATCCTTTGATAATTGGGCACAAACATCTTCTGAAGATGGTTGGTTTAAATATACCCCATGATGGTTCAGTGAAAGGCAGAAGAGTCTTTGCTGTTATGGAAACATGAATTAATATACACATGCCCTCAAGATATTTCACTTGATTCAGATACCACAGGTGAAATACATTTCTTACTCCTAGATGTTGGCTGGAGGTCTGACAACCCTCACTTGTAACTGCAAAGGAACCAGCATCATGATAGGAACAGGATCAATATAGGACTGAGATCTAGAAATGCATCTTGAGACACTGAGGCTAAGCATGTGGTGGTTAGAGGATAAACACAGGGAATATCCATTGACATCTGCTTGCTGGGCTAAAGTGTACAAGTGAGTTAGGAATCCATGGCATGCAAATCAGACAGGTATGTCTAAGGGTATGGGTAGCAGAAGATAGAAAACCAGTCATCCAGTGCATACAATTGCTGCTGGGCACAGGGGACACCCTGAAATGTACACAAAATGTCACTGGGTACATCCTTGCTATTTAGCAAAAATGTATTTCTCATGCTCAGGACAACTTGTGTTGAGTGCACCAACACCGAAGACATTAAAGAGAAAGTTAGCCATCTGTTAGATATACTTTAACTTGGATTCCTGTATTGAGGAGGGGATTTGATGTGGTGGCCTTAAAGCTCCCTTCCAACTCCATTATTCTGTGATTCTGTTGTAATATCTAATGTGGCCTAAGAAGACAGGAGCAGTGGCAGGAACAAGAGACTGTTCCCTCCTTTGTGGAGTGTATGAACCCTCGCCTGGGTTGCACTATATACAGTGGTGCCTCGCTTAACGATTGCCTCGTTTAGCAATGTTTTCGCTTTACGATGGGTTTTTTTAAAGAATTTATGCATCATTTAGCGATGTTTCCTATGGGCGATTTT